GCAACATCGACAGCGGTAGACACGGCGATGATAGTGGCGAAGCTGGTGACGATGTTGACAGCAACGACGGCGCGGCCAATGGCGGCGCCTATGCTGATCGCGCCGACGACGATGACGGCGCCCCCGCGTCGGCGATGAAGGTTTTGGAAGGAGTTCGACATGTGCGCGCGGCCGACGCGCGAGAGTGGCCCGCGTGGTATTATTTGACGCGGATGATGTGGATCGCGCCCCCCCCCCCCCCAGCACGCGCGTTCGGGCGCTCGAATGATTTCGGCGCGCGGCAAGAGAGGCCCGTGGAGACACTTGTGGTTTTCAGAGGAATTTGCAAAATCGCGAGCGCAAGTTTTCTTAGAAAAATGATGGTGCGAAACCATGTGTTCATTGTTTCGGGGCGCTCGGTTTTGCAACTCCTGCCAGACCTAAGGTTTTTGAAGGATTCCGGCCTGCGCGCGCGACGGCGCGCGCGCACGTCGCGCCAGTCTGTTGCAGAGGATTCGTGACGGCACGCGCGCGAGGGCGTTCGACCGATGTCGACATGCGCGCGTGCGAAGCCCGTTTGGTAGCATTTGAAAAAAAAACGATGCTTTTGTTACCTAAAAGCGAAGACTGATAGGTTTCTATCCTTTCTTTCTTCTCTCTTTTCCTTTTCTTTCTTTCTAGTGGTCACTCAAAAGAGACAGCAGATGACTCCACAGGGGGGTCCTGGGCGGGTGCACGGACAGGGGGCGCATAAGTTTGTTTTAAAATATCTGCCAACAGTCCACGACACTTGGCTCGTGCTCTTCGACCTCTCCAGAAGAGTGGGCACCAGCACTTCCCTGAATGCCGCGTTAGCCAACTGTAGGCACTTCGTGCTCTTCGACTTCCCAGAACTCCATTCCCGGGCCACATTTTGGATGCCCGGAGCCAACTGTAGGCCACTTCGTGTTCTTCGTGTTCCCAGAACACCATTCCCGGGCCACATTTGAATGCCCAGAGCCAACTGTAGGCCACTTCGTGTTCATCGTGTTCCCAGAACACCATTCCCGGGCCACATTTTGAATGCCGGAAGCCTACTGTAGCCACTTCGTGCTCTCGATTCCCCGACTCCAATTCCGCGGACCAATTTTGTATGCTGGAGCCAACTGTTAGGCCGCTTCGTGCTTCTCAAGTTCCCAGAACTAACTCTTCCCTGGGCATGATTTTGAAATGCCCCGGAGCCAACTGTAGGCCACTTCCGTGTTCTTCTAGTTCCCAGAACTAATCCTGGGCCACCTTTTTGAATGCTGAGGCTGAGGCTGAGGCGGAGGCTGATGCAGGCTGAGGCTGAGGCAGCTTGAGGCTGAGGCCGAGGCTGAAGGCAGACTGAGGCTGAGGCTGAAGCAGGCTGAGGCTGAGGCTGAGGCAGGCTGAGGCTGAGGCTGAGGCATGCTGATGCTGAGGCAGGCTGAGGCTGAGGCTGAGGCTGATGCAGGCTGAGGCTGAGGCAGGCTGAGGCTGAGGCCGAGGCTGAAGCAGACTGAGGCTGAGGCTGAAGCAGGCTGAGGCTGAGGCTGAGGCAGGCTGAGGCTGAGGCAGGCTGAGGCTGAGGCTGAGGCAGGCTGAGGCTGAGGCTGTGACTGCGACTGCCGTTGCCGCTGCGACTGTCATCGCGAATGCGACTACGACTGCGAGAACAGCAGAATTCTACAACTGGATTTTCGTCTGAATCTTAAGGGGAATGCTTTCATATATGCTTCTACACATCGCTGTTAGGTTGCTTTGCCGGGATAATTGCTGGCAAACAAATAGCGAAAGCGCGCTTGAGCTGTTTTTTGAAAATCCGTAACCATGTGTTTTTAAACTGTTTCTGGACACTCGATCAGCGAATTCCTTGCGACGCCCGCGGTTTTTGAAGGCTTTCGGCGTGCACGCGCGACGGCGCGCGCCTGTGAACTACGCCCCCTTATATTATCTTGTTGTTGTTTGTCTGTTTGCGTTGGTTTGCAGGGGATTCTCGAGCGCGGATGGTTTTGGATGAACGAGTGCGCGCGCATAGTTTTTCGCAGGCGATGGCGGGGGGCGTCGACGCCGGCCAGGCTGGGGCGGCATGGGCGGTGGGGCAGAATCGCATGCAAACTGCAGTGCGAAAAGCGGAACGGATAAACCTGGGCGGGGTTGAGTATAATTCTAGACGCTTCGCGCGTCCCCGCCAGTCCATCCAGAAATGGCGCCCGGGCGAGTAGAGGGCCGTCCTGAGGGGCTGTTCGGCGTCTTGGGTGCCTCGGGGGGGGCTCTTTGGGCCGCTTGGGATCCTCTTGGGGGCCTCCTGGGGGCCTCTTGGGGGCCTCTTGGGGCCATCTCGGGGCACTCTCCGCGGCCTCCTGGGAGTTTCTTGGGGCCATCTTGGAGGAGATCGATCACAGGAGGGGGGGGGGGCGGTAATGGCGCGCCCCCCCCCGCAGGAGGCCAGAATGGGGCCCAAACCATAGTAACATCAATGATTTTGGTTTCCTCGCCGAGGCATTTCTGGGCGCCCTGACACCTCCCCGCCCCTCCCCTCAAGGTCCACGGGAAGGGGGTGGGGGGAGGGGTCAAGACCCCCTTCCCGCCCGCCCGCAAGCCGTCTCGCTCACTCCCACCCGCCCTCCCAACACATACGTAGCACCCGAGTCCGGCCCGAGCCTGAGCATATTCAGCAGTCGTCTTTGGATGGGCAGGTGCTGGGGGCCAATCCGCCGCCGCCGCCGCCGCAACCTCCGCCGCCGCCGCCGCCGCCGCCGCCGCCGCCGCTGCCCGCCGCCGCCGCCTGCCGCCGTCGCCGCCGCCGCCGCCGCGTGCCTGCCGCCCGCCGCCGCCGCCGCCGCAGCCGCTGCCGCCGCCAGCCGCGCCGCCGCCGCCCCGCGCCCCCCGCTGCCAAAGCGCCGCCGCCGCCGCAGCCGCTGCCGCCGCCGCCGCCGGCACCGCGCCGCCGCCGCCGCCGCGCCGCCGCGCCGCCGGCCGCCGCCGCCAAATAATACTATGCATTGTTTTTTGACAGGGATGGTGGGTGGGTGCGGGGGGGGGGGGGGGGGGGCGCATCGGGTTGGCTGCGCATGTTCCGAAGTTGGAGGCAGAGCGTGGTTTGCATTGTTTTTTACAAGGGATGGTGTGGGTGGGTGTGGGGGGGGGGTCATGGACCCTGGATGGCCCCCAGTCGCCTGGGGGAGGGGGTGTTTATTCATAGGGAACAGTGATAAACCCTTCCCCGAAGGGGGAGAGGGAGGGGTGGGAGATAAAACGCCCTAAACCACCGACGCCCAAAGGGCTGGTGGGATTTCTTTCCGGAAGGGATAATCTGTGCGGTGCGTTCAATATCTGTTTGCAGTGAGTTGTCGTTTCCACTGTTCGCGAAATCATCCCACCCGCACGCCCGCGTTTTGGTCTGCAGAATCCATGCGGCGGCGATTGTGATGAGTACCTGGCGCTGGCTGGTCCACTTTGCGGCCGCGCCGATCCAAGCACGCGCGCGCAGCGGCCAGCCAGCTTGGCGCGACCGACGCGGCCACGCTGGCGCTGTTCGCTGGGCGCATCACGGCGGGCGTCTCAGTGCGAATCGGGGACTTGGGCGGGCGCGGTATCATGGCAACGTCGAGAACGGTAGACGCCATGATGATCGTGGCGATGCTGGTGGCGATGCTGACCGCGACGATGGCGCGGATAGTGCGGGCGCCGATGCTGATCGCGCCGACGACGATGACGGCGTCCTCGCGTCGGTGATGAAGGCTTGTGAAAGAGTTTGACTCGCGCGCGCGGCCGACGCGCGACAGTGGCCCGCATGGTATCATTTGACACGGATCGTGCCCCCACCCCAGCACGCGCGCAAGGGCGCGCGAAGGATCTCGGCATGCGGCGCCAGAGGCCCGTTTTGCAGATTATCATGCACATTTTGAAACATTGTTTCAGAGTTCGCATGCTCGCAAGCGCACGTTTTTTTGGGGGGGGGGTTATATATAGATATTGTGTTGGTTGAAATTTGATGTTGCGAATGGGTTTAAATCGCATTGTTGGACATTCGGTTTTGAAATCCCAGCGACACCACAACTTTTGAAAAAGGTCCCCGTGCGCGACGACGCGCGCGTGCATTTCGCAATTTTGTTTGCAACGGATTTTCGCGAGGGCATGCGCGCAAAGGGCGTTCGAACGTTTTCGACATGCGCGCGCGAAACCCGTTTGGAAACATCTTTTGAACATGGTGAAACAGTTTGCGATTTCGCAAGAGCGCGCGCGCGAATGTTGTTGAAAATCCGTGTTGTGAATGAGTCTGGCTGGTGTTTAAATTTGGTTTTTGGAAAATCGATTTTGAACTCCCTATGAAACCGACGGTTTCTGAAGAATGTCGGCATGCGCGCACGACGATGCGCGCGTGCGTACTTCGTCCCGTTTTTTTGTAAGGGGTTCTTGACCATTTATGATTTTTGATAAACGAGTGCGTGCGCATGGTGCTTGTAGCACGGGACGGCGGGGGGGGGGACACAGGCCACTTTGGGATGGTGTCACCTCATATTTGCGATGGACGATGGGGCAGAATCGGATGTACTTCGCGATGCGAAAAAGGGCAACGGATAATCCCGGGGGGGGCATAGTTATTCTCTGGTCGGAAAAAAGGAAAATGTATGTATGGTGATTCGGCGACGGGGCGGCGGCGGGGGTGCGACGGGGGCCACATGGCGGCCAGAGCGGCCCGCAGGCCCTGGCGACGGGCGGCGACGGGTGGCGACGAGGCGGCGGAGGAGGAGGAGGAGGAGGTGGAGGAGGAGGAGGAGGAGGAGGAGGAGGAGGAGGAGGAGGAGGAGGAGGAGGAGCAAGAGCGGGAGAAGGGGGAAGGAGAAGGGAGGAAGGAGTTGGAGGGGAGGGAGGAGTGGGAGGGAGGAGGAGGAGGAGGGAAGGGAGGAGGAGGAGGAGGAGAGGAGGAGGAGGAGGAGGAGGAGGAGGAGGAGGAGGAGGAGGAGGAGGAAGATGACGTCCTCCCTCGCCCTTCCCCTTCCCCCCCTTCCCCAGAGGACTGCGAGTTCGGTGACTGTTGACGTGGACCCTCCGCCAGCCGCCGTCGGCGAGGATTTCTCGGCACCGCCGCCAGAGGAGCAGGTAGGAGGGACGAAGAAAGAGGAACGAAGAGGAGGAGGAGGAGGAGGAGGAGGAGGAGGAGGAGGAGGAGGAGGAGGAGGAGGAGGCTGAACAGCCGCCGTCGCCGGGCCGGCCCCCCAGAGTTCGCTGAGGCGTACATCATCATCCTGATCCCCGTGCTGATCAAAGTAGGATGGTGTCGGTGTGTCGCGTGCGTTTCGACTTCTTTGGTGTTTGCAGGAGTCGCAGGAGGAGTAGAAGTAGGAGGAGGATGTTGGGGGGAGTGAGGGCGGGAGGGAAACATATGGAAGGAAGGGAGGATGAGGTCTAGGTGAGGGTGATGGTGTTGATGATCATGATGACGACAACAAAACATGTAACGAAGCATATGGATATGAATAATAACCTTTCTGGCAGCAGTAGCACCATCCCTCTTACTAGGATGATAGTTGTGATGATGATGATGATGATGATGATGATGATGATGATGATGATTATGCTGCTGCTTCTGCTTCTGATGATGATGATGATGATGATGATGGCAAGGATGACCAGAGCATATGCATGTGCTTGTGATTGTGATGCTGACGTTGACGACGATGATGATGCTGACTCTGCTGCTGCTGCTGCTTATCACGATGTTTATGTTGGCGGCGAGGCTGATGACGAAGATGATGTTGTTGTTGATGACGAAGATATGATGATGATGTTGGAGCTGCTGCTGATGATGATGATGTCGGTGATGATGGCTGTGGTGCTTGTGATGGTAAGGATGATGAAGGCGACGCTGATGACGATGACGACGGTGACGATCATGATGCTGCTGATGATAATGATGGTACTAAGGATTATGATGATGGTTATGATGATGGTGGTGGTGGTGGTGGTGATGCTGCTGATGATGATGATGATGATAATGATGGCAACGACGATGCTGCAAATGATGATGACGATGATGATGATGATGCTGGTTAGGGTGACGATACTTCTGAAGCTGATGCTGATGCTGATGATCATGACCATGGTGGTGACAATACTGCTGCTGTTGATGATAATGATAATAGTGATGGTGATGATGATGATGGTGGTGATGATAATGGTGATGACGATGATGATGATGATGATGATGATGATGATGATGATGATGATGATGATGATGATGCTGATGGTCGTGATGGTAATGGTGACGATGCCGACGATGCGGACTCTGCTGCTGCTGCTGCTGCTGATGATGATGCTTCTGCTGATGATGCTGACGATGCTAGTAATGATGATGATGATGATGATGATGATGATGATGATGATGATGATGATGATGATGATGATGATGATGATGATGATGATGATGATGATGATGATACTGATGATGACGCTGACGCTGACGATGACGATGACGATGATGCTGCTGATGACGAACACGACGGTGACGACGATGACGATAATGCTGATGTTGCTGCTGATGCTGACGATGCTGACGATGATGAGGAGGAGGAGGAGGAAAACAGGAGGAGGAGCGGAGGAGGAGAGGAGGCGGAGGAGGAGGTGGATGGGGGGAGGTGGAGGGCCAGGATGTTGATGAGGGTGGTGGTCGTGGTGGTGGTGGTGGTTGATGATGACGATGCTGCTGATGTTGTTGCCGATGGTGAGGAGGATGATGTGTGCGGCAAGACTGAGGAGGGCGAGGAGTAGGAGGACGAGGCGGAGGAGGACCGTCCGCTGACCCCCGAGCAGAGCAGAGAGCCGCCGAGGAGGAGCCTCGCGGGGCCGGCGAGGACGAGCTGTCGGTGCTGCGACTGGACGTGGAGGACCCCCGCTGGCGCCCGCGGCCGATCCGCTGGCCGCCTCGGCGGTGGCGTTCGTACACGACGACGACGAGGAGTTGGAGCAGGGCGGCGGCGGCCATCCAGACGACGACGACGATGGCGACGACGATGACGACGACGACGACGAAAACGACGATGACGACGACGACGACGACGACGGCGACAACGGCGACGACGACGACGACGACGGCGACGACGGCAACAACGGTGGCGACGGCGACGGTGAGGACGAGGACGACGACGGCGTGGGGGACGAGGACGACAAGGGCGACGGCGAGGATAACGAGATGGAGTAGGAGGAGGAGGAGGAGGAGGAGGAGGAGGAAGAAGATGAGGAGCACGGGGGCGACGGCGGCAGCGACGACGAAGGAGGCAGGGGAGGTGGAAAGGGGTGGGAGGGAGGAGCGCAGGGACGGCGGGCTTTGACTCGACGGCGGGCATTGCATGCGCGTGCATGAGCTGGCCCCGAAGGGCGCAGGACTAGGAGTAAAACGGGGTAAGGCGCGCTAACACGATGTAGGGTTTGGGCGGCGCTCTCACCTGTATGGCACGCCTGGGAACGGCCATAGAGGTGGTGCTGGGGATGACGGGAGGGAAATCAAGTGAACATGATTGAGAGAGAGCTAAGAACGGAGCGCAGCCAGTAGACACCTGGACCGCTGAGGGCGTCAAGTGCCTCGGGGCACGGCTATAGTTCCTACTGCCTTTGATGCTAGCTCTTCGGGAGGAAGCAAATGCATGTCCGTCGCCAGTATGTACATGCCGTCAGGAGAAGAGAGAGAGAGAGAGAGAGAGAGAGAGACAAAGAGAGAGAGAGAGAGATACGGAGAGTGAAAGAGAGGAAAAGGAGACATGACAAGGGGGAACGGAACCACGTGGGCGGCGGACAGACAGCCTTGCGGGTGGTGCCGTGCACTCGCCGGCGTGCAACCACGCCACCCCTTGCTTGAGTGGCAACATGGCCCGAGAGGGTGGGCTGCTGCTTGGAGGCTCACTGAGGCTGGAACCTGGGCAAGAATGCTACCGCCACTGGCCTGGCCTCGCGCGCAGGTCACGCTCTGAGCCCAGGTGCCATGCTGTGCCTCCCCTGCAGCTGGGGAGAGAGGGCGAGGAGACTGTTCTGAGTGCAGATGAGGTGCGGCTTGCGTTGCTGCTTCTGCTGCAGCTGCCAGAGGTCATGGGCGAAGCAGGGACAACCGCAACCGCTGGGCTGAGGGGCGGTTCCCTCATACCAGCGGGGGTATCTGTCTCTTCTTCGGCCTTGAAGTTGGCAGCAGTGAGCTGCATGCCACTAGAGACTTTCCAGCTGAGGCCCCGTGCGTAGCGGCGTCTGACGCCGCCGCAGGGCAAAGAGGTTCACGGGGCACCAACGTCCGGCTGCGTGAACCGAGTGCTGCATATTACGTAAACCAAGCACGTCCTGAATTTGGCGGCACCCCAACATGCTAACACTGCGTGTGCGTCGCCACCCACAGGGGCGACGCGCGCACCCGGAATACATATGACTTCGTACCATCCCAGCCAGGCTGGTATCGACCCCCCTCCGCCATCCTCTGCAACAGATACCATGCGCGCGCACTCGTTTATCAAAACTCCTTAGTTTTTCACAATCGCTTGCAAACAATGCGACGACGTGCACACGCGCGCGTTCCGAAATCCTTCAAAAACCTGCGATTTCGTACGGATTTCAAAATCGAGTGTCCCAAACACATGTAAAACACATGGTTTCGCAACACGGATTTTCAAAATAAGCTCGCGCGTGCGCGCGTGCTCTTGCGAATTCTTCATCAAACCATAAGTTTTTCAAGATTTTCAGAACATGCTACCAAACGGGTTTCGCGCGCGCATGTCGAAATCATTCGAACGCCCTTTCGCGCGTGCTGTCGCCAGAGTCCTTTGCAACAGATGGGACGAAGTACACGCGCGCGCGTCGTCGCGCGCGCATGCCGAAATCCTTCAAAAACCTTCGGTTTCGTACGGATTTCAAAATCGAGCGTCAAACAATCATTACATCAGTTTTCAAACAAACGGCGCTCGCGCTCTTGCGAATTCTTTGGAAAACCAAGAGGTGTTTAACATGTTCACTGAATTTTACTAAATGAGCGAGCCACTCGCGCCGCATGTCGAAATCATTCTAACACCCTTTCGTGCGTGCTGGGGGGGCACGATCCGCGTCACATAACACCATTGCGGGCCACACTCGCGCGTCGGCCGCGCGCGCACGTCGAACTCCTTCCAAAACATGCATCACCGACGCGCGGAAGCCGCCATCGTCGTCGGCGTGATCAGCATCGGCGCCGTTATTGGCCGTGCCGTCGCCGCTGTCATCATCGTCACCAGCGCCGCTACTATCATCATCGTGTCTATCGTTGTCGACGGTGCCATGATACCGCGCCCGCCCAAGTCGTCGACTCGCACTGGTCAGTGCCCAGCGGTCAGTGCTACCGCGGCCGCGTCGGTCGCGCGAAACTAGCTGGCCGCTGCGTGCGCGAGCATGCGCGGGCCAGCGCGGCCGCAGAGATGCACCAGCCAACGCCAAACACTCATCGCAATCGCCGCCGCCTGGGTTTTGCAAACCAACTTGCTGCGGGCGGGCGGGTGGGACGACTGCGCGAGCAGTGGAGCGGACAGCTCCTGGCGAATGACACCTCGTGCATCCCATCGATTTTTGCACGCGTCCCCTCGGGCACCCTGGCGGCTGTGGAGACTGGCCTCCGCGGCCCGGCGGCCCACTCGGCACGCAGGCGAGGAGCCATCTCCAGGTTGGAGAGGAGCGGCCGAGGCCCTCCACGGGGGAGGCAGGGACGCGCGCGCCCGTCGCACGCTCCTTCTTACTACAGACTCAGAGGGGGGCCCCAGTTCGAGCTACCTCCCCCCCTCTCCATTGGAAGCGAGGGGGGGAGGCTTCCGAAACTCCCCCTCCCCCCGTTCGTGGGCATTTTTTCGCGGGGGGGGGGGGTCCTCTGGTGGCGTCGCGGGGGCCTCTGGGGCCGTCTGGAGGGCATCTTGGGCCGACTTGGAATCATCTTTGGTCGTGTTGGTGCATCTCGGGCCCCCTTGGGGCCATCTTGGTCTTCTTGGAGGCGTCTGGGGACCGTCTTGGAGGCAATCCTGGGCCACGTTGGCCGTCGGGGAGGGCCGCTTGGAGCCTTGCTGGTTGTCTTGGAGGCAGGAGCTCTGGGTATGAAGGATTTTCCGTGTGGCCGGCCGGGTCGGCCGAGGCCCCATGGGGAACCACCCGGAAGGCTTCGAGCGGCTGTCACCTGGCGCGCCGTGTGCCCATTTTGCAAGCAGAGTGGGCACGGGGACTTTGCAGGCAGCCCGCACAGGAAGGATGAGCAGCTCTCCAAGATTGCCCTTCTGCATCCTGCCATTTCGGCCCACCTTTGGCCGCTTTCGCCGGCCGCTCCCTGCTCGCAGAGTGTCGGCGTGGCTCTCCGAGGCCCTTGCGTCCTCACAGCGCGTTCTTTTTATTCCCTACCTAGGCTCTGCCCAGAAAGGGTTCGTAGGTATGCTTAAAGAGCCGGGCAGTGCAACTCGCCCCGGGCGGTTCCCCCAGTATCCGCCCCCGCGGTTCCCCCAGTTACGTCTCCTTAGCTTAGCGTTGCTTATCTCATCTTAGCTTAGCCTAGCTTAGCTTAGCTCAGCTTAGCTTAGCTTAGCCTAGCCTAGCCTAGCTTAGCTTAGCTTAGCTTAGCTTAGCCTAGCCTAGCCTAGCCTAGCTTAGCTTAGCTTAGCTCAGCTTAACTTAGCTTAGCTTGGCTTAGCTTAGCTTTAGCTTAGCCTAGCGTAGCCTAGCCTAGCTTTGCTTAACTTAGCTTAGCTTAACTTAGCTTAGCTTAGCATGGCTTAGCTTACCATAGCTTATTATAGCGCAGCGCAGCATCGCGCAACGCAGCATTACCACAGCATATCATAGCATGGCATACCATAGCCAAGCATAGCATAGCATTGCATATCATAACATCGCATAGCTCAGCATATCATATCATATCATAGCATAGCATAGCGCAGCATAGCCTATCATACCATAGCGTAGCATTGCTTAGAATAGCACAGCGCAGCATATCATAGCATATCATAACATAACACAACATAGCATAACATAGCGCAACATCGCATAACATTGTATATCATATCGCAGCATATAATATCATAGCATAGCCTAGCATAGCATAGCATAGTGCAGCATAGCATAACATATCATAGCATATCATAGTGCAGCATAGCATAGCATAGCATAGCATAGCACAGCGCAGCATAGCATAGCATATCATATCCTAGCATAGCACAGCTGCTGCTGCTGTACAATTTCGTAGGAACGTTCGGTGTAGCAAGTCTTGCACAACCTTGCTCAATGCCAAGTCGTGCGGTGTAGACTGGATACGGGGCATTCTCAAACACACCTGGTGAGCGAATGCGACAACATGCGTGTTTTTGTCTGTGCGCAGGCAAAGCAAAACAACAAAATCAAGCAACCGCAAAAAAACAAAAACAACACAACAGCACCAGCAACATCAAACACAACATCAAAGGCAAGGCAATGCAATGCACAGCAAACGCAAAACCAATGCGAAATTGTAGATGTTGATGTAGGTGTAGGTGTAGATGTGGATGTAGGTGTAGATGTAGATGTAGATGTCGGTGTATATATAGGTGTATATGTAGATGTAAATGTGAGTGTCGCTGTTGATGTGGATGTAGATGTAGCTGCATGTGTAGATGTTAATGTAGCTGTCGGTGTAGATGTAGATGTTGCTTTCCTAGACGCTCCACCTCCTAGGTCGGGTCGCGCTGGGATAATATGGGTTAACCGTAGTGGACTTCTGCTGAACCCGCCACCGTGCTTAGGTTGTGGGTCAGGGGGCTGTTGGGAACGTGTCTCTGGTGTCATATCGACGGATGCCTCTCAGGGTCTCTGGGGATGCTTCTCGAGGGCCTCTTGGACGGCTCTTGGGGGTCTCCTGGGGGCTCCTTCAGGGCCTCTTGGGGCATCTTGGGGGCCTCTTTGAGGCCTGGTGGGGTGTAGCATTGCGTTGCGTCGCGTTGAATAGCACAGCATGGGGTAGACCAGTATAGCGTGGCTTACCATAGCATGGCGCTCTATCTTGTAGTAGATAGTTCGGGTAGCATTGCATGGCTGGGAATAGCATTGCGCAGCTAGCATGACAAAACCTGGTGCAACATAGCCGAACATGGCGTAGCGTCGGGTAACATCGCATGCTTAGCATTGCGCCGGGTTGCACAGCCGTGGCTGGGCACAGCATTCCACACCATGTTGCAGCACGTCGTGGCACGAACAACCTCTCAGTTCCGTATCCGGCGTTCCCAAGGGCTTGGAAAGGGGGAGGAGGAGGAGGAGGAGGAGGAGGAGGAGGAGGAGGAGGAGGAGGAGGAGGAGGAGGAGGAGGAGGAGGAGGAGGAGGAGGAGGAGGAGGGGAGGCGGAGGAGGAGGAGGAGG